CGTTCCTGCTGCTTTGTCGGTGTCGCGCACGCGACCCCCTGTAAACTGCGCCCGTCCCCTGCGCCTGCCTCTTACCACTGGCCACCCCCGAGAGCAATTGAGTTGACTGATCTTCCCCCTCGCCGGGATCAACCCTTCGTCGCCTAGGCAGAAGGACATGTACGGCACAGGTATAGCGTCGATCGCCGACCCATCACCGCCAATCCTCCGCAGACCGGGGCCTGAGCAGCAGTGGCCGCCCAGCCTGGCCGGGATCCCGTGCCCACCAAAGAGCTCTCGGCGCGAACTGGGCCCCTGCAGGCGTCTGGTGGTGCTGGCGAGTACCCCTTGGAACAGGTGGATGCAAGTATGGAGCCGGTAGCGCTGATATTGGATTGGGTTCCCGCCCGCCCCCTGGAGAGGAGGAAAGGAAAACCATTCGATGATTGAAATAGGGAGGCGGCCAAACGAGATTGACGTCTGGGACTCCAAACGTGTCCATTCCCAACAAACGATGAACAATTACTCTCTCACGGCCTCATGGAGTCCTGCAGCGACATGGGATGCACATCCGTCTGGAGAGCCTGGGACGCCAGCGTGGTGATCTCCGCCTCCAGCAGCTGGTCCAGCCGCGCCTGCGTCAGCCGCACCTGGGAGCTGCCCGATGACCCCAGCGAACGACCTAATCCATCACCTCTTCGCCCCCACCCCTCTCAGGAAGCCCGAAACGGCGCACAACGCCAGGGAGTGTCTCCGATAACTCTCGGCTGACCTAGAAGAAGAAGCCACAACATAAACAAAAACTTTTGGCGCTCCGCGCGGGGCTGGCGCGGATTCAAGAAAGCCCGCGCGGAGCGCCGACAGATTATGTTTACGGCGTTTGTTCTTCTTCGAGGTCTTCAGCTGTTTGACCGACGCGGAGCGGTGGTGCGCGCCAGGTACGCCAAAGGGTCCCGAATGTTTCATTGCATCAACCTTGCAGACGTGCTACAGATTTCTGCGTGGATTTCTGCGTAGATGTTTGCCCATAGCGGCGAGCGAAACACGAATCTCATTTCGTCTGGATGTGTTTGGGTCTTCACTCCCGGTCAACAAACAAATTACACGAAATTAACTTCGAAATCCGGAACGAAATTCTCCAGAACACTCCGGGCCCATCCTATCGTTTTCCTATGCGATGTTGACGCCATGAGGAGTGGTGGTGCGCGCCAGGTACGCCAAAGGGTCCCGAATGTGCGCTGCAGCGCCTGTTGGCAGAGGACTCCGCGGGGTACCTGGCAACCACGCGCACCTCTGCCGCCCGGGCGGCTGCAAGCCGCCGAGAGAGAGCTCACTCGTCACGGGAGCCTTTGATCGGCGGCGAGCGAGTGCAGGGGCCCAGGGACACACAAATAAATGCACATGTGCACAAATCCCAGGATACCCCATATTGTCCCATCTGTTCTGGGTCCTCGCCTCCCCCCCCCCTACGTCCCATATTTTCCCATCTTGTCCTGGGAACCGCCGAGCAATCGTGCCTGTGCGGTGTTCCCCCTCACTGAAGAGAGCTCACTCGTCAGGGGAGCCCTTGCTCGGCGGCGAGCGAGGGGGATCGGCCCACGGGGGAGATGCATCGGCCCCCGATCGCCCCTTCCGCGCCGACCATGGGGCCCGATAGCCCAACCCCGCCCAGGCGCGTGCGGCTTCCCACTCGAGGGTCCCCTCGCCGATCTGCCGGCGACGCGGCGCCGATGCCAGCTCGACCTCTCCCCCCGAGTGCCACTCCGCCCCTGCCGCGGGCGGCGGGCGAGGTGGGGAGGCGACAGGGGGGGGAGGCCTTCTCCGAGGGCCCGCGGAGCCTCTCGGAGGCCCTCGGGCCTCCTCGGGAGCTGGTGCGCGTTCTCGCGCAAGGCTCCGAAGACCTCTCGGAAACCCGGGGGGGCTTCCGAGCCTTCTGAGAAGGCCCGCCCCTTCTCACTTCCCCCCCGGGCTCGCTGCCGATTTGATCGATGAGGGGCTTGGATTGTCGTAGAGAAGACCCAGGACAGACTCCGATTGGATTTGCCTTCGCAGAACGTTCCCAAAGGCCAATGGAGTGGTGGCACGGAACGCCCTTGAGCGACTCACAGTCGAACCGTGATCACAATAATCGAAACCATGACTAGGTCGGGCATGTCCTCCTACAGGTAGGCTTTGGAACGAACGTGAAATTGTCAAATCGTACCCCAAACTAGATAAACACATTGAAACAATAGACCCTAGGCTATTCGTTGACTATGTTTGAATGTCCCTTCTGTAGGGGGACATGCCCGCCTCAACGCCAAAGAGCGGTGGCACGGAACGCCCTCCTGTCGGGGAGACGTAAGACCCGGGTACGGGGGACTCGGAAATCCCCGACGAGGTCGTCAAAAAAATGACGAGGCCGAGCCTGCATTTTGACGAGGCCTCCCGCTGCAGACATCCCACGAAACTCCTCCTCGTCAAAATCCGAGTCGCGGTCGTCAAAAAACGATGGCGAACCCGAGTCCTGGCAAACCCGGGTCCTACGCTCCCCCGATCCTGGCCATCGCTCGGACGTCCATTCCCTGTGCTTTGTTCGGTGTCGCGCCCGGCTTTGTTCGCAGGATGATCCAGGATGCTCCCGAAAGAATCCCAGCCGAGAAACAGTGCACACGCCCGAGCGATGCCACGCCTCGAGCGAGCTACCATCGGAGAGCGTGACTACCACACTGAAGGGGCCCCAGGACACACACACACACACAAATAGATACACACAGATAAAAAGGTCCCCCACATTCTCCCACATGTTCTGGGTTCTTGTCTTCCCCCCCCCTCCCCCTATATTTTCCCATGTTTTGAGGAGGATCGACGATGAATGGTGTCTGTGTGCTGCTTTCCCTCCTGCAACACGACCGAGAGACCGTGCGCCGGGCCCCTTCGCCGAGGACCCGAGGCCCACCGGAGGAGGTCCCCGCACAGACCCAGAGCACGCAGGGGCAGAGGGCACCGACCACGACGAGCGTGAGGTCAAGTGGGGCCCGCCCCTCCACAGGGGTCGGGTCGGGCGAAAGGAGGGGGTAGCAAAGGGGGGGGTTGAGAATCAGCTCACGTAGCTGATTTTCCTGGCGCCTCCAGGTGCCGGAGGCGACTCTGTATCGAGGAATGGGCCCATCGGTGGGGCCGAAACCAGCTGCATGCGGCAAATTTCGTAACCCCCCCTTTCCCAATCCCCCCCTTTCGTCCCGCCCGACAGGAGGAGCCGCCAAAACACTGAGAAATGGTCAGGGCACGATGTGTTGCTGACATTCCTGGTGATGTGGTGCGCAGTTCTGCGCATAGTCTCAGGGCTCTTCGAAAAGCCACCTGCAGGAGGGGGTGCCCGGACCTGAGAAGAAGGGTACTCCAGATGCCGCAATAAAAGGGAGGGGGTCTGGACCCTCCAAGACAGGCCATTTCAGACCCCCCCCCCCCCCCGGGAGAACCCTCCAAAACGTCGTCCCCAGACCCCCCCAGGCCCTCCAAGATAGCCTGGAAGAGACCCCCCCCGAAATGAGACCCCCCTCCCTCTCTTACGAAATCTGGGGCACCCCTCCGAAGCTGTGGCTGTTCGGGGCCCCAGTGCCGGCTGCATCCCGACCCTGGGCCCGCCGTTTCTCGTGGCGCCCCCCAGCTCGTCGCTGGAGAGGGCGTGTTCCCGGGGCTGCCTCCCAGAATTATGCTCCCGGCTGCGAAGACGGGGACCTCAGTGAGGCTACGTCTTTCTCGTGAGTGCTCCAGATTTCGTAAGAAAGGGAGGGGGGTCTCATGTCGGGGGTGGGTCTCTTCCAGGCTATCTTGGAGGGCCTGGGGGGGTCTGGGGACGACGTTTTGGAGGGTTCTCCCAGGGGGGGGGGGTCTAAAACTTCTCGTCTGGGAGGGTCCAGACCCCCTCCCTTCTATTACGAAATCTGGAGTAGGGGGTCCTTTATCCTTAATGATCGAAGGCTCGCGCCGCCTCGACGATGCATCGGCGACGTCGGCGATGCATCGGCGACGCCGGCGCGGAGAAAATCTCTGGAGGCCTGGAAATGCGCACCAACACCGACACAAAGGGGTTGCCTCCACGGGGGGAAGATGATCCTAGATTTTGGAGTTGGTGGTAATACGCCGGTCACCTTGGCAGCCAGAATATTACCACCATCATCGAGATCAGGATCCTCTTCCCTCGGTGGAGGCACACCGCCGATATTGGTGTCTGTGTCAACCTCTAGGCCTGTCAAATCTGGCCCCGCATGGAGCCGCATCGGGGATGCATCGGCGATGCGGCGCGATCCTCCGACCCCATCCAGGAGGCCTAGCCTGTCGACGAGAGCTGAAGGTTTGCTCGGGCGTCTCTCCGCGACCCTTAGGTCGGGCATGTCCCCCATACAGGCCGATCTTCGACGAAAAATGAAACGTATTCAAAAGATACAAAACGCAAATCAAACATGAAAAAACACGCCCCCTGACTATGTTGTGACTATGTTGTGAATATGAACATACTCGACTGTGCTTGTGACAGACCCGGCTTAAGCCTAGACTGTCGAAGAGAGCTGAAGGCCTGCCCCGGCGTCTCTCTCCGCTGCCCCATATGGGCCTCTCCGCGGATGCGCTATCTGGCAGATTCGGGACAAACCCAGCCTTGGCGACGAATCGGGAGGCTTGGGAATGGGCACCAACCCCAACACAGGGGGTTTGCCTACCCAGGGGGAAGACGATCGTCGACATCGGTGTTGGTGCCACCATCACCGAGGTCGGGACTATTTTCCCTCCGTGGAGGCTCACAGCCGATATCGGTATTGGCGTCAGCCTCGAGGCCTCCAACGAGAGGCCCTCCCGAGAGGCCCAGCACAAGGCGCGTAGGGCGAGCGAAGCACAGCTAGAGGCCCCGCCCTCCGAACCCTACGCCCACCAGCCATCGGTCCTCCGGAATCGGGCTCGGACTTCGCCACCACAGACATGCTCGCGTCGTGAAAAATCGGGACGGCCAGCTTTTCGCTATTTTCGGCCCCTGGGGGCCCTCGCCGGGCCCCGGGGCCGTCAGAAAACGATGCATGCACCGGCCCCGGGGAATGGGCCGGGACTTCCGGGGACGACGTCCTGAAAAAATCAAGACGTCGCATGTCTGGGACGTGTTCGACGGCCACAACGCGAGGGGGCCTGGGCTCGAGTCCCTGCAGGAGGAGGAGGAGGAGCAGGAGGAGGAGGAGGAGGAGGAGGAGCAGGAGGAGGAGGAGGACCAGGAGGAGGAGGAGGAGGAGTGGGCGCCTCTCCGTTCGGGCCGCGGGACGACGCCGCCGCGCCCCGCCGGCCCGCCGCGCCCCGCGCGGGCAGCTGCGCGCCGGGCGCGGCGGCGGCCGCGCCAGGCGCGCGCGCCAGGACCGAGGCGCAGCGCCGCGCGGCGCGCCGCGCGGCCGCGACCGCGGCCGCCATGCCCCCGCGGAGGGCCCCGCGGGCGCCGCGGCGGGGAGCCTGAGCCGGCGGCTGGCCGCGAGGCGGCGCCAGAGGTGCTCCCAGACCCCCTCGCGCCGTGAAGAAATACGACGGCGGGAGGGCTCTCGAGGGGCAACGATAGGGGGGGACTGGCATAATTGGGGGGGAGGCATCGACCTGGAGTCGGCGATACATCGCCGATGGATCGGCGACAGGCCTC